GGGGTTTGGATTTGGTTTTTTTTTTTTTCCTGAAGAGACAGGGTTTCTCTGTGTAGCCCTGGCTGTCCTAGAACTCACTCTGTAGATCAGGCTGGCCTGGAATTCATGGAGAGCTGCCTGTCTCTGCCTCTGGAGTGCTGGAACTAAAGACTGGTGTCACCATTGCCCCGTGGATGAATTTTAATTTTGATGTTTTAGGTTTTCTGGCTTCTTGGTTTGGCTGGTTTTGGTTTTCAGGGTTTGTTAATGTTTTGTTTGGAATTTTCCTTTGCGTTTTTATTATTACATTGGGGGGATACATGTCACCTTTGGTTTTCTGATTTTGTTTTGATTTTCTAGGTTTTCTTATTTATTGTATTTTTGCTTTGTTTGGAGGTTTTTTTTTTTTTTTTTTTTTTTTTGAGACAGGGTTTCTCTGTGGCTTTGGAGGCTGTCCTGGAACTCGCTTGGTAGTTCAGGCTGGTCTCGAACTCACAGAGATCCGCCTGCCTCTGCCTCCCGAGTGCTGGGATTAAAGGCTTGCGCCACCCACGCCCGGCTTTGTTTGGAGTTTTAAGCTTTTGGTTATTTGTGGGTTTTTTTTAAGATATAGTATTTTTTGAGAATTTCATACACCGATAGAATTCATTTTGATCATATTCACGCCCCACCCTTCCCCCAGCCCCTCCTAGACCCATCACCTACCTCCACCCCCCCAGCCCCCAACTTCCTCTCTCTCTTACTGGCCCAATTTGTGCTCATATGTTCATGGTGTGGGACATCAGCTAGGACTGTGGTGCCTAGCAGGAGCCACATTCTTGAGGAGAAATGACCCTCCCTGCCCAGAAGCCACCAGCTGACAATAGTTCCTCCTGAGGTAATAATGCTGGACTGGTGACTGCTTGACATTTGGGCAAGGCTTCTGCAGGCAGCCACAGCTGCAGTGAATTCATGTCAAGAAGATATTTTGCTCTGGTCCCTACACTCTCTCCCTACCCCCCTCCCCCGCCCTCCCTTTTCCATGATGGTCCCTAAGTCTTAGAGGACCCGGTCCGATGTAGACATTCATAACACAAAATAATGGTAGTAATAAAACTAATAAGAAATGCTAAGGAGACTGGAGAGATGGCTCAGAGGTTAAGAGCACTGACTGCTCTTCCAGAGGTCCTGGACAGCCTCCAAAACAATACAGAGAAACCTTGTCTCAAAAAACTATATATATACATATATATATGTACACACACACGCAAATATGTACATATATATTTCTTAAGCCATTTGTGTGTCTTCTGAGAAATCACTTTAAAGGTTGCTTGTTTTCTTAGTGTTTCTTAGTTATATTATTACCATTATTTTTCCATTTGCATATTCTAGAAGTTTCAAGGGATTTTCCTTTGTTTTGATTTCTAAGTTTTTAGTTTTTATGTATTTTTGCTTATTTAGAGTTTGGTTTGTTTTTAACTATATTGTTTGGGTTTTCTGAATTTTTAAAAAATTTGATCCTTTATGTATTTATGTATTCTTCTTGGGCAGTCGGTGGTGATCATTCTTATTATCCTTCCTCCCTAGAGACTTACAGCTAGTTTTTTGTTTTTGTTTTTTTTAATTTGGTTTCCTTGGTTTTGTATGTGTGCCGTTTTGTTTTTCTGGGATTTTTGTGGTTGTTATTGGTTGTTTTTAATTTTTTTCTATTTCTTTTTTCCACTATTTTCATTTTTAATTTCTTTATTTCCACTTTTTCTTTCTCTTAGGCGGCATTCATACTTTCTAAAATGAGCTTTGAAGATGAGGATACAATCACAGAACTCAGATCTAAGCCCCGCTTGCGTGAGAGAGACAACTTCCACGCACAGTATAGGGTCTCGAAGACCCTTGGCCGTGGAGGCTATGCCATGGTAAAACTGGCCTACCACCGCCTCACAGGTGCCCCGGTGGCTGTCAAAATGCTTCGGAAAAGAAAGCTGTGGTGTTATCCCGTCATGTCTGAGGTTGATATCATGATGATGACCAACCACCCCAACATCATCTCTCTTCTTCAAGTGATTGACACTGAGAAGATGCTATACCTCGTCATGGAGCTGGCCGAGGGACAGCAACTTTATCAATATGTCCGAAACACTGGTTACCTGTCGGAGGACGAAGCTCGTGATATATTCAGGCAAATAGTGAGTGCTGTGAGCTATTGCCACGAGAACGGGATAATTCATCGGGACCTGAAACCAGACAACATCATGGTGGATAACAACGGGAAAGTCAAAATCATTGATTTTGGCCTCGGCACCCAAGTCCAGCCCGGGCAAAAGCTTAGCTTTCACTGCGGGACTTATACTTTTGGTGCCCCTGAACTCTTCCTTGGCAAACTTTATGATGGCCCCAAGGTCGACATATGGACCATGGGACTCATTTTATATTTCATGGTAGTTGGACATGTTCCATTTGAGGGTTTCACTAGAGCAGAACTGCGAAAGAAGATTGTGGCAGGGATGTATACTATCCCCTCGGACCTGTCAGAAGAACTCCAGGACCTGCTTAGCCTGTTGATGACTTTGGATCCCAATCTTAGGCCGACAATAGATGAAGTGATGACACACCCCTGGCTGAGGGAAGACGAGGAGGGTTTACCAAACCACCATTGTGAAGAAATGATCCCTAGCTCACCTGACCCTGCGATTGTAGCAGCCATGGAACATATGGGGTTCCAAGCCCAGGACATCAAGGATTCATTACGTCAGAGAAAATTCAACCAAACCATGGCATCCTACTGCTTCCTTCAAGAACAAGCTCTCAGGGAACATGGCTGCACAACCAGGGCTCAGCCCATAAATCCAGGGGTGACACCATTCCCTTCCCTTGAGGATCCCGTTGCTTTCCCTCTAGAACCAAGGAGGAGGGGGAGTGAGCCGGCCCTTAGCACATTACTCAGAGGGTCACCCGCTAATGGCCAGCAGGCAGGTCAAAAGGGAGGCAGACACGCCACTAGGGCATTCCAGAGGACACCCACACTGGACCCAGCCCAACATCAACGTACTAAGAGCGCTCCCTGCATTCATTCAGTGAGCGGCGAGAACACAGAAGACAACTTAGGCTCAGTCTGCGGGGCAGCAGAGGGCAAGTCCGTCCGCAGCCAGGGCCAGCCCAGAGGCTGGAGGGGATGGACAAGGAGGATAGGAAGCGCCATGATGAGACTCTGTTGTTGCATTCCGTCAAGGAAGAAACCTCGCCGGGGGCAGAACAGAGTCTCCCCCTCGGAAATGAGCCCCGAGGAGGGGGCCCGGAGGACAAGCAACAGGAGCGCGGCCCAGAGGTACATTTCTGTATTTGAACGCATCTATTTTGCTCATGTCTGTGTCAACGGACAGATCACAGTTATATGTACTTATAGGGTGCAATGCATTGGGAGGCTAGCTCTAGATACCATGGCCCAGAACATGAAAGATTCATTACGTCAGGAAATTCAAGCAAACCATGGCAAACTTTATGGGTACCTTAGAGCTTGTTCCTTTCACAGACACTTTCAATGACTTGGTGGCAGCGTTGGGGACTAGGAGGTGGGGGGGGGGGGGGAGGGGAGGAGGTGGCTGGGATGGAAGGGTTAGACGGGAGGAAGGAAGCAGCTGGGAGGGCTGTGCAGAGCAGGGTGATCACAGTTGGAAGGGTGTCCCGTGTAGTTGAAGTCACGGGAGTCGGTTTCACGGGCCTGTGTTATTATTGCATTCTAACAGTTCTCCGGAAGACGCAGAGAACACCGTGGCGTTGGAGAGAGTCCCCAGGCGTGGACGGAGACCTGCAGAACGGTGCCGTGTAGAAAGATGTTCCACGTCTGCGTCCTGCTCTGAGTCCAGCTGGGAGGGACAGAGTAAATGGTGGGATCCTGGGCAGCAGGAATTATGCAAAGACCCTGCCTCTCGAAGACAGAACCCTCCCCCCCCGTCTGCCCATCTGCCTGGGTCGCTTCAGACCCCTCTTCTCTCGGAAAGTGACTTCACCCCCAGTGCCACCAAGTCATTGAAAGTGTCTTTGAAAGAAACAAGCTCTAAGGTGCCCGGAAGTGGAAAATATGCAGGACTTTCACGTAGACTTTGAGACCAGCAGCATTTTAAGAAGGACCAGTGAGACCACTGTCCCATTTCCCCGAAGACAAGCGTGGCAACCTGATGAATTCCTGTGCAGGTGGCATGGGTTGGATCCCAGGGCTGCCGAAAAGCCGCAGGCCCATTCTTCTGTGTGCATGTGCCTTGACTATGTAATACAAGATGTCCACTCCGCCAATTGTGACATTTCCATTTTTTTCAGATCCACGGGACAGGGTAACCCCTCTGTTTTAGCCCAGGCATGTGTCGTTCAGTGAACAAGTCAGATATTGGGCGGGAGGAGGATGTGTGTTAGGATAGAGAAGTATAGATATTCCATGTGAGAGGCAGGCCCCACTGACACAGGCCGGCAACAAGATGTGCCCTGTCACTGGGGACCTCACTTAACAGCAAACCCAAGCCTTATCATACTGGACAGATTACCAGTACCTAGTGGACCCGTCTCACAGGCACCTAAGCTCTGGCTCCTGTGTATACCTGTCACTCTGATGTAGGCTCTCGCAGCAGAGCATCTTTCCAGTTCTGGGTACAACACTCTTGGCTTCTTTATAATGTCAATTAGTCTCTTAGCAAATACCCCTCATGCTCCTTTAAATTCAGCCTCACGAGTTCGCAGGCGACAGACAGTGTGTGTGTATGAAAGACTAAGAGAGTGTGTGAGAGTGTGTGTGAGAGTGTGTATGTAAGAGAGTGTATTGTGTAAGAGGAAGAGTATGTGTGTAAGACAGAGTGTGTGTGTGCATGCACATGTGTGCGTGTGTGCATGCCCGTATGTGCGTGTGTGCATGCGCGTGCGCCAGGATGTATTATACTAGGGTACCCTCTAGTTCACCTCCTATCAGAATCTTCACCTCCTATCAGAATCCTCAGTCCCATCAAATCTTTTTCACCACTCTGGTGATCACGGTGTCCATTAAGCTCCGTTCTGAACGTCCCCCTCCCACAAGCGCACTGCAAAGGCGTCCGAACCATGTACCATGTCAGGGATGCTCCAGCATTAGCTCCTCTGCTCCACATCAGATTTCCTGAACTAATCAGGTGATAAGGGAGAGTAGTTTATCTTGGCTCACTGTTTCCAATAGGATGGTCTTCGCCCCACCTCCCCTTCAAGACAGACTGTGATGATCAGAATGTGCAAGCCGAATAAACACTTCCCTTCCCTCAACATTTTTATTTATTTTTAAAACCTTCTTTTTTAAAAAAAGATTTATTATATATGCAGACAGGCCAGAAGAGGGCACCAGATCTCATTACAGATGGTTGTAAGCCACCATGTGCTTGCTGGGGTTTGAACTCAGGACCTCTGGAAAAACCAATGCTCTTAACCACTGGGCCATCTCTCCAGCCCTCAGTTTTTTTTTTTTTTTTGTCGTGTTTTATCGCAGTAGTGGAAACACTAAGAAAATGGGAAGGGACCGTCACCAGGGAAGGGATGACATGGCGGACCGCAGGGCCGAGAGAGTTGATGTTAGATGTGTGGCTTGTAGGAAATCATTTCGCGGGTACTTTCCGGCACCTAGAATTTCTTCCCACCAGACTTTGCCTCGGGGCGGGGGTGGGGGAGAAAATGTCATCTCCGGCCTCTTGAGATGCCATATAGGTCAGTCAGCTGACTATTTTCCCTTGCAAAGCCAGGCAGCGGCGGGAAAGCCTCGAGTCGACTGCACGCTCAGGCTGCAGACTTCTGCAGCACCGGCTTCCCGTGGGATTCCCAGTGCTGAGTTCTGAATACAGATTGCAAAGTCAGAGCAAAGGGGCCGCAGCTCAGAGCGGAGGTATAGCTAGCATGAAGGGCTCTGAGGGACAACGCCAGCCTCGCTGCCGATGCCAGGGCGTGACATGTCCTGTCAGGGCCACTGCACGGGCAGGGAGGCGGTGAGCTGGAGGACCTTGGGGCCAAGGAACCAGGGCCCTCCTGGCTCCCAGCATAGGCCTTAGGGGATATGAGCCTTGCTGAGAAGTTAAGGTCAGCCTGGTTGGAGAGACACGGTTATTAAGAGCTGAGATGAAGCCAGTAGGGGCAGAATTGGCTGCTCTTGTCACCCGCAGTTGCCTGGACTTCCAGTGGCCGATTGCCCACGGTCTACCTTCAGGTGCCGGTAATTTGACAGGGTCTGGAGAGGTGACCCTGAAGGACCAGGTCCCTCTTCCTGGAACATTTGCCAAAGAATTGGTGTGTCAAGGTCTTGAGTGGGAAGTGTGGACCTGGAAACTTGACTAAAGGCCAGCAAATGCCACCATGAGCCGTCCCCTTGGGAAGCCCCTGTGCTGAGTGAGATAGACCCCACCCTCCTGGCCACCCAGAGACTGGTGGCTTAGAGCAGAGCGCGGGGGGGCCACCTGCTCCCTGCAGCTTTTCCCTCCTGGGGCGAGTCTAAGACTCTGCCTTCGAGTCTGTTGGGATTGGCTGGGATTTGCACTCCTCTGAGTTTTGAGATAACAAAGCCCCACAGTGACCATGACAACACCCAGGTTCTCAAGTAACATTCCAGCAGCCATCACTCGCGGGGGGGGGAGGCTGTGTTCTCCGTTTAGTTCCTTCTTTGTTTCATAACTGGGGCCACATTTCAAGGCAGATAAAGGAGGGTAAACGCGTCTAGCCATTCGCCACCCTTGGAAAACGGGTTTCCACTCCCTGCGTTTGTCTTGAGCATAGTCAATCCATCTGCTCTCAAGGTGTTCCTCTGATGTCCTCCTTACCCTAGACATGCCCTACCCTGTACGCCTGGAAATGAGAAATGTTTTTTTCTAAACCCTTACGTGGCAGTGCAGGAATCAAAGGAGATTTTCCTTCAACTCCCTCGTCTTCAGAAACGACCGTGGCGAAGGTGGCCCGTTGGGGCACTTATGTAGTGCTCTTGTGTTGGTTCTGTTAAATTTAAGTAAAGACAGAAGGGCATGAGTTCAGCGCTTAGCTGGTTGCCTATTGCCGTGGAACAAGGGACCCGAGACAGGTCGGGAATTGGGAGCGGTCTAGTAGAGCGGGCCTGGATGTCAGCCAGGGCTGGGACCATCTAAGGGACTGACAGGGAATGGAAGGCTGGAGAGATGATAGCTCACAGCTAGCAAGCCGGCCATGGTCACCAGCAGAACCTCACCCTCCGTGTGCTCCCTCCTCAGGCTGCTGAGCGTCTGTATGCGTGGTGGCCGCTTTCTCTGAGTGCCAGACTAAGAGAAGGAGGGAGAATCAGGTGTGTTTGCGGCCTTGAGTCCAGTTTCACCCATTGGGTCTCCATTACTCAGCTGGAGCAGCCAGCCCTGATTCAAAATAGACGGGGAAGCCAGCAGGAAAGAAGACATTGCCGCACGTGAAACAATGGCCCAATAGCAACTATAGACTCGCTCCAACTCCGCAGCCACGAATACATGAAGGAATATATCATCCTGCCTAGCAAACCACAGTGTTTGTTACGATGACAAGTCGCTATATTTGTCTAGTTTTTGTCGCCATAACAAAACATTCAAGTCTGGCTGGGTAATATGTGAACAAAAGAGGGTTGAGGTTTTTTTTGTTTGTTTTTGTTTCTTCAAGACAGGGTTTCTCTGTGTAGTCCTGGCAGTCCTGGAACTTGTCCTGTAGACCAGGCTGACCTCGTACTCACAGAGATCCGCCTGCCTCGGCCTCCCGAGTGCTGGGACTAAAGACCTGTGCCATCACCACTGCCCAGCTCAAAAGAGGTTTATTTATCCGGGCGGTGCTGGCGCATGCCTTTAATCCCAGAACTCGGGAGGCAGAGGCAGGCCGATCTCTGTGAGTTCGAGGCCGGGCTGGACCAACAGCCTCCAAAACAATACAGAGAAACCCTGTCTCATAAAATCCAAAAATAAATAAAGAAAGAATAAATAAATAAATAAATAAAAGAAGAAGAAGTTTATTTATCTTACTGTTTCAGAAGTTAAAGAACAGGGTGCCATCAAGGCTTGGCTCCAATAGAGCTCTGATGTCACAGTGGATGATATAACAGCAGAAGCAGTACCAAGCAGCCAGTTACTTGAGATGGGAAGACAGAGTAGTGGCAGAGATTGCCATTGCTCTTTTATAACTTCTCCTGGCTAGAGATAGCCCAGGTCTGTAAGGAAAGAGATAGCGCAGGTCTGTGAGGGTAGAGATAGTGCAGGTCTGTGAGGCAGAGATAGTCCAGGTCTGTGAGGGTAGAGATAGCTCAGGTCTGTGAGGATAGAGATAGCCCAGGTCTATAAGGTTGGAGATAGCCCAGGTCTGTGAGGATAGAGATAGCCCAGGTCTATAAGGTTGGAGATAGCCCAGGTCTGTGAGGATAGAGATAGCCCAAGTCTGTGAAAACTAGTTCCCTTCTGTGGGCAGTTGTGGGAACAACAGACCTTAGCCAGAAACCCACTCCTCCATCAGCCTGGGAGCAGGCAGCTGTGAGACAATGTTTACTGAAAACATGTTTACTGAAAACAATCCAGTGCCCCAAGAAATGTTTACCGGAGCCACAAGTTCCTGATAAGGGCTCGCTAACTGAAACACCCTGACTTTGATCTTCCCAATGGCTAGCCAACTCTTCCTGTCCCCTGCTGTCACCGATTCTGGTGTCAGGGATTTAACCACCAGCCAGGAAGAGGAAGAGAGATGTGCCTGTGTGGGTGTATGTATGGCAGAAGTTTTTCTGGAGGGAAGCATTTTCTTGGGAAGTTCTCCTGAGCCTTCTTGGGGAGCATAAAGATTTCTTAACGCAACCGACTGGTCTCTGTGTCATCTATCCCGATGCCCTCGCCACATTCTGGGATACAGGCTGCGCAGTGGGCGCAGCAATTGGAGGTCCCACTGAGATCGTGAAAGCGAGGTAAGTGGGTGGGTTCGTCATTTTTTCTGGCCAGGGACAGATTGGGGAAAATAAGAAAAGAAACGATGGGGAATAGTTCCGGGAAGCTTGAATTACAGTATCAAGTAAAAAAGTTACTTGAAGTACAGGGGACCATAGTTAAGGCTAAAACCCTGGAAGGCTTTCTAAAATTGATAGAACGAGCAAGTCCATGGTTCATTACTGGGAAAGCTTAAATATCCCAGATTGGGAGGAGGTTCGCCGTGATCTTATCAACTTTTATGAAAAGAGGGACCTGAGTCCCTGCCCCCATCCACATTCTCCTTATGGAGATTAGTGAGGGGCGCACTTTTGACAGATAAGGCTAGCCACCACCAGGTAGTCCA